GTCCCTGAGTCCCACCGCGGACCGCTCCAAGGGCCAACGTTCGTGCAATCCGAAATCTAGTGTGAAGTCTGTGCATTGTAGTAGGGGATTCGAGCGCTTGAGTAGTCATGGATGTCCTGTGTGTTCTGACGGTTTATAATCCATGGAATCTCTGGCCAGAGTTGATAGTGGGGTGATTAGGGAAATGTGTTTCCCTAAGTCGCACACGAACGGATTTATAATACCTAGAACGTTCGCACGGTTATTGAACTTTATAAGAGGTCTCGGTGAACCAATGCCTCTAGTTCAATCGGGACATGTGCTACGAAGGGATCGTACTGTACGCTAACTATATCATAAGGTTCTTGCAGGCACTTCATTTGTATCTAGGGAATCATGATGCGTAGTTGCTAGACGCCAATCTTGATTCGTTGGGCACCGATTTGATCGGGATTAGGTAAAATGAGTTTTACTCTAATCAGGACTCTTGGGAGGAGTTCGTATAAGAACAATGTGTTGTTCGAATCACAAAGAGTTGTGAGCCCACGGCTAGCATACACCTGAACCATTGAGGGTCACACTTCTCGTGTAATATAGATCCTTGATAACAACAAGCATAGATTAATGTGTTAATCTTTGAACGATTGGATGTCGATATGATTGAATCCAAGATTCGTAATTGTGGATTGCGAATCGGAATAAACGTAGAGAAAGAGAGAGATGCGGAATTTAGTGAACTTTCTAAATTGGGAAGTTTCCCGATTTAGCAAGTCCACTGAAGTGGAAGTTTCCAATTTTGGAAATTGGAAATTTCGAAGAGGCACTCGTATCGACGAGGGCTTTGAGCTCGTCACAAATATAATTTTGTTATAATTTTGTGAACGATCGTTTATTAGAAACGAGGCCGACGAGGGAATGGGTTTAATGCATCAGTGGGTCAAGCCCAATGACTTAAGCCCGCTAGGGTTAAAAACCCTAGGTATAAATAGACCTCAAAAGGAGTTTTCAGATCAGATTTTTCAGCTCAAGCCCTAGCCGCTCCCCTCTTCGGCCGTTGCTCCACCGGCGCGCCACCGCCGACCACCGCCGGAAAACCACCGGTTTTCTCCTCTTTTTCCTTCGTTTTATTCGTGTTGTTATCTAACTCGTTTACATCTAGTGCTGTAGTTCGAGTGGGTCGAAAATACGAGGTGAAACCTAATTGGAGAGGAGCTGCTGCCCCGACGAATCCACGCACCGCCGCACGCGCCGCACCGCCGCTCACGCGCCGCCGCTGCTGCTGCCATTCGTCACCGTTCGTTGCTTGCTGGATCAGCTTGTTCCAGCCGTGAATTGCAGCCCCGAGGATTGGTAATTTGCAGCTTGTACGTGTTTGAGTTTTGGATTTGGATTCGTCGAAATCTCACGCTACAAGAGGTAATTAAATCGGAACTTTCGTAATTCGATTCGAACATGTTTGTATGATTTTTAATTTACGAGCATGAGTAATATGTGATTACGTGTTTCGATTTTATTGAATGATGAATAAGCATGTTTCGTGATTTTCGGTTTTACGTATTTTTCAATTAAATCGATAATTACCATATGTATGGCGGAAGCGTTAAGGTACGTTGACTATGTGATTAGTTTATGCATGTAATCGAAATTAGTTCGATCTAAAATTTTTAAATTCCGCTGCGTATACATGCACGATCCCCAACATAATGGACCTCCAAGAGCTTGAAATTCATTTGCCAGATCAATGATCTTTTCATTGTATTGGGAAATAGTTTCACTTTCATCCATTCTCAGGCGTTCGAACTTGGATGACATCAACCTAAGATTAGTTCTCCTCACGCTTTCTGATCATTCATAATGTAAATGAAGTACATAGCCAGGCATCCTTTGTACTGGTACATACATATATGAGCTTAAATATCGTGGTATCAACTGAGTGAAAAATGGCATTTAAGGCTTTGGAACTGTAGTTAGCTGTCGAAATGTGATCTGCAGACTGCGGTCCGGTCCATTAATCTCGGGAATTACTATAAGATCACATCTTCATCAATTTGTTTTGGTGGAGACCATCCTGCCAATAAAGCTCTCCAGACTCTTTCATCAATCGATTTGATGAATGTCCTCATTTTTACTTTCCAGTAAGTATAATAGTTCCATCCAATACTGGAGGACGCATGGACGCTGATGTTGGTGGATCCATCACGAATTCGTGCATTGTAAAAATAACCACATGATACAATCACTTAGTATAAGTCAAGTGTAGGCTCTTGATGCCAATTGAAAGAATTTAGTGGCTCTAAATTCGGATAATTTATATACAACTTGTATAAAATCAGAGATCTTTAAACATGACAAAACAAAAACTTGTAGTAATAAAGATTTTGTAGCGGAATATAAATAACACAATTTTTTAAATCATTATCCACAAGTATATAACTTGTGGATAGTGCCTTTACAGGCTCAAACTAGTATTCAAAAGAATACAAATGAGAAGCCAAGCTCTTCTCTTCTAAGAAGAAAACACAAGATGATTTCTTTGTAGAGTAATTCCTAGTAACTAGTAAAAAAAGTACTTAATGATATACTAGGAATACAAATTAGTATTTAATGAGATTGAATACAAAACAGACTCAATTATGTATTGAGAAATCTATAAAGAATACAAGGTGTTGTAGACGATGTTGCAATACTCTCTGCTCTACGCTCTTGATTCTCGTCAAAAATTGGTACAAATGAACTTGGATCTCCCCTATTTATAGAGTTCAGGAACATCATGTCCTGCATGAAAATAACACATTAATAGAAGATAGAGAGTTAGTGGGATAATGGTTTAGTGGATAGATTAATCATGTGCTTAAGATAACTACCCACTAAGGTAATAATAACCGCCTACTAACTCTAGAAAATAAATCCGAATAAATAAATGATAAAATGATAATAATTCGAAAATTAAGAAAATCAAAATAATTAAGATATATTTGACTAAAAAAACAAATATTCAACAATGTTCTCATTTGCACATCCACATAGTCGAATCCCAAGATGAAGACTGATATTTTGACAAAAATCTACTCTTTTGTCTAATGCTACTGAACTATCCATCTTCATTTATCGAAACTCGTAAAAAGCTCAAGCATTTGCAGAAATAATCAAAAAATTACGAGCATTTGTGTACGAGAAATTATGTGTTTTTAAGTAAGAGAGAAATAACATCTAGAGATGGTGCTTTGGGGTGGGTGTTTTTACAATTCCCACACTTTTGATAGAACAGTGTCAAGGTCATGAGTTTGAAAATTAACGTTACGGCCACCTTAGGAAAATTTTACAAGTAAGGGGTTAATCTATGCAATCGAGAGTAGAAGGAGGTAAATTGATTTCGACCCGAAGTATAAGAGGAAAGTGGAATTTACCGTATTTTTTTTATAATAAAGGAACTCGCAACCAATTTTATAGGTGCACTGGATGAACATTCGCTCTCGTGTAATAAATCGTAAACTACACGAGAGATGTAAATCGCACTAGGCTAACCATGTGTGTGAGCTCGACCTAGCGACCGTTGACAAGTAAATTGGAATTTGAGTCAATTAACATAATCTCATTTGATCCAACCAGTGAACCACCCAAAAGGGCAGATGCTAATTTGATGGTTTTCTAAATTTAATAATTATTTGATAATTTCTTTCAACTTGATGGTATACTTGATCTCTATCTCTTTCATCAAGTGTGATAGGGGTGGGTTTGGTAGGGAAATCGTACCAAATCCTATTAATCACTACCATTACCAATGTTTTTGTAATATGAAATTCAGTACTATTGTCGTACCAAAAAAATCGATATGCCGAAATTCCGTATACCAAAATTCGGTATGGAATGGTAAGGTAATGGCAATTACCAATTTATGTTATATACTATTAACGTCAAAATTCAGGGCCGGTCTTGGCTATTTGCAGCACAAGCCACTGCTTTGGGCCCCCAATTCCTAAGGGGCCCCCAAATTTAAAAAAAAAAACTAGTATATATATATATATATATATATATATATATATATATATATATATATATATATATATATATAATAGAGTCCTTTCTAGCATGAGCATTCTAACTCATTAGAGCAATTCCAATGGAGTTACTAAATGGGGTATCAAACTAAAAAACAACCACTTTGATGCTCCAAAATTAAAAAATCCTCTTCCAATGGAGGTATTAAAGTGAGAACTATTTTGATATTCAACCACCCCGAGGTGCAAAAATACTCCCTGGAAAAAGAGGTATCAAAAATGTAACCACTCCATTGACCTATCACTATTTGACACGTGACATTTAATAATATAATTATTCATATATTTAAAATTTGATAATCTATTTGATACTTGTGGTTGGAGTGAATTTTTTTTAGAAGTATCAAAGTATTATATCAAGTATCAAATGAATGTTTAATGGTCCATTTTGATGTCTCTCCATTGGAGTTGCTCTTAAAATAATATAAAAAAATCTTTTCCAATACGGCAATACCCAACACGTTGCAATTAAAAGGGGCAGAATCACACATTCACACTAATTAAAAAACTTTTTTTTTGGGGAAAAACAAGAGAAAAACCATTCTCTTTTGCAGAGCTTTGTGCAGCAGCGCAACTCAAAGAAAAGGGAACGAAAGGTACTACTAACCTGTCTTCTTAATTTGGATTTCTGTTATATAATATTAAATATGCTATGGATTTTTGTGCATAGATTTCTATTTTGCATCAAAATATTGGTAAAGAGAAATTGAGAATATGCCATTGTTTTCAATTTTGAAATTTTGAGTATAATTTGTTTTATCATCTTTTGTAGGATAACTATTTCGATTGAGTGAATCTAGAAATTTGGTATTTTTAATTGTTGATAATGGGTCCTAAAAGAAAATATATGTCGGGAAACGAGAAAAGAAAAAAGAAAGAAATATGTGAAGAAAAAAAAAAGAAAAAGAAAGATCATCTCTAGCAGGCACACTTTATAAATTCATTACAAGAGGCGGGAGTGCAATGGGTTCAGGTTCAAGGTCAGTTAAAAATTTGGAGAGCACTGATATTTCTACTGAGACAGAAGATGATTTAGAAATAGATGAAGAACATCAAGATCACTTGAATGAGGAAGATGAGGTATTGGTGAACGAAGAATCGAATCAAAATACTGATGAAAAATTGATTGGGGATAATGAAGATAAAGATGCTCATGAAGATTGTGAGATGGGACCTTTGAATATTTATGATCCCGGAAATTGGGATACGATTGATCACAATTTGATAAAACAATTGGTAGAAAAATGACCAATAAGAATAACAGATAACGATGTTATTTTTTCTAATGATGAGAATGGTTGACATTTTTCTTGTCTATTTTATGTCCGAGATCTGTTAAATGGTGAGAAGGAAGATAGAAAATGGCTAGTATATTCAGTTATTGCGGACAGAGTATTTTGTTTTTGTTGTAAGTTGTTCAAATAAGATAAAATCCTTTCACATCTAACTACCGAAGGATATAAAGATTGGAGGAACATTGGTCAGAGACTTAAAAGTCATGAAGTCAGTAAGGAGCACCTTACTTGCATGGGTAAATGGATTGATTTGTAGCTGAGATTGAAGGAACACGAGACTATAGATAAGAGTTTACAAGAACAAATCAGTAAAGAAAGAGAACATTGGCGACAAGTATTACTAAGAATAATTGCGCTTGTAAAAACTCTTGCTAATAATAATTTAGGATTTCGTGGAGATAATGAGAAATTTGATCAAGACAACAATGGCAACTTCTTAAGCTTCATTCAGATGATTGCAGAGTTTGATCCAGTCATGCAAGATCACCTACGGCTTATTAAGGATGAATCAATTCAATATCATTATCTTAGTCACAAAATTCAGAATGAATTGATTCAGATGTTGGCTAGTGAAAATAAAAGTGCAATTGTCAAAATAGTCAAAGGAGCAAAATATTTTTCCATAATACTTGATTGTACTCCTGATGTTAGTCATGAAGAACAAATGACTCTGGTACTTCGATGTGTAGATATTTCAGCAGTGTCGGTAGCAGTTAAAGAGTTTTTTGTGCAATTTCTGAAAGTGAATGAAACAACATGCTTGGGAATTTTTAATGTGCTTTGTGATGCACTGAACACTCTTGAACTTGATATTGCTGACATAATAGGTCAAGGGTACGATAATGGGGCTAACATGAAAGGAAAACACAAAGGTGTTCAAAGAAGACTACTTGAAGTGAATCCGAGAGCATTTTATACACCATGTGGTTGTCATAGTCTTAATCTTACACTTTGTGATATGACCGGCTGTTGTACTAAAGTTGAATCATTTTTTGGAGTTGTGCAACGCATTTATACTCTATTTGCATCTTCTACAAAGCGGTGGGATATTTTGAAACGTCATGTGCAAGAACTTACGCTTAAGTCATTGTCTCAAACTCGCTGGGAAAGTCGTGTGGAACGTCTTAAAGCTATTAGATACCAAGCGCCAAAAATAAGAGATGCATTACTTGACTTGACAAATAGTAGAGAAGACACTAAAACAAAGAGTGAAGCGAATTCTTTGGTGACTCATGAACTTGAGAATTTTGAATTCTTGTTCGGCATGATTATCTGGCATAATGTGTTGCTTACCATAAATGTTGTTAGCAAAATCCTTCAAGCTGAAGATATGGATATTGATGTTGATATCAAACAAATTAAGGGACTCATTTCCTTTTTTGAGAAGTATAGAGAAACTGGATTTTCAGAAGTTAAGATAGAAGCTAATGAAATTGCAAACACAATGGGAATTGATCTAGTATTTTCTGAAAACCGAATCATTCACAGAAGAAAATATTTCGACGAGAGTTCAAGTGAAGAGGTGTTGCAATCAGCTGAAGAATGCTTTAGGGTTCAATAATTCCTCTATGTGGTGGATCAAGCTATTTTATCGCTTAGTACCAGATTTGAACAACTTCAAAAGTACGACGAGAAGTTTGGTTTTTTGTTTGATCTCAAAGGCTAAGATCTATTGATGATACAACTTTAAATACTTATTGTGTCAAGCTTGAAGAGTATTTGAAATATGACACTTGTGATATTGACGGGGTGGATTTATCTATGGAGTTAAAAGTTTTGCGATGTATTTTTTACCGGAAAAGGTGAAAAGGCCAATTGAGGTGTTGAACTATTTGCATGTCATAGACGGTGGTTTTCCGAATACATGGATCTCTTATCGGATATTGTTAACAATTCCAGTTAATGTTGCATCTGCTGAGAGAACATTTTCAAAGTTGAAATTGATTAAGTCTTACCTCCGATCAACCATGTCGCAAGAGAGATTGAATGGACTAGCTATGTTGTCGATTGAGAAAGATATGGTAAAAAAAATGATTATTCAAGTCTGGTTAGTGATTTTGCTTCAAAAAATGCGAGAAGGGTAATATTTAAGTGATATCTTTTGTTCTAGGTTTAGGCATTTTTATTCCTTCATAAAATATTTATTTTTGTTCGTTTTATCAAGATTTATCATTGTTTAAATTATTTGCTTTACAACTTAATGTAGTTTGTTCTTTGAATATTTTTGTTTTGTAATTTAATTATCAGTTGTAAATTAAAGTAGATGAATGACGGTCAAGTTTTGTAAATTATCACGATTAATAGTAAAAAAAAGCTAAATGAAGCTGAATAATTTTGAATCAATAAGGATATATTTTTTCAAAGTTTGCTTGGGGCCCCAAAATTCCCAGGACCGGCCCTGTCAAAATTGAATATCATTTTTTGGAAACAATTCATGGCATATACTTGTTTAAAATTCTCAAAATTAGTATTTAATATATAAGTATTCTAAATATATGTTATTAACTTATCTAATATAAAATAATTCTTCAGTAAAATTATAACATAAAATTTTTTAACGTAAATTATATCATCATTAATAAAAGCACACACAAAATAATTTTTACATACCTAAAAGTTACAACTAAATTAAACTATTAATATTTACTTAGTTACTATCTTCACTTTTTATATAAAATAAATTAATTATTAAATTAATAATTTTATTTATTTTTATTTAATAATAATATTTCGGTACGATAGGGTAATACCATTTTAATAATTTTGAGTACCGTTGTTCTACCAAAATATTTCGATACGGTATGATATGGTACAGTAATTTTTCGGTAGAAACATTTCAGTAATTATCGTTAAGATTTGGTACGACAACGGGTTGTTAGGGCAATATGATAAAAAAAAAATACCACCCCTAAGTGTGATTGCTCGACAGCTAGCATCTGGACTAAAAGACATCCTGGGACAGAAGAAACCAATTATAGAATCAATATTTCTCAACCACACATTGACTTTTGATCTTGTTTATGCTGCTAAGTTTCAATGCGTTGAATACTTAACAAGTAAGCATTCTTATTGTCAAAATGTTCACGAATTCTATATTTTATTACCATTATCCCTATAATTTATTATATGTCACTGACGTGACAAAATGCTGTTTTTATATCTTTTGTAAGATCTCACAATTTTAAATTTTTATTTATGTTGAATATTTTTTGGGTAAATGGCTAGGCATATGACAACATTACTTTATTAAAATAATGGATATTTAACTTTTTTGTCTTACAAATAAATTCCCTTATTCAAATTTATTTGTAAATAAGGATTTTTTTTTATATATACCTAAATTACTCCAAACTCCTCGAAAGTCTAATTCAACTTCAATTTCATGATTTATACCCCAATTTAACCCAATTTCACCAATTAACCAATTTTGACCCCAAATTTGACCGACACTGCCGGAGGCCGCCGGTCTCCAGCGTTAACCTTTTTTTTTTTTTTGAAAACTTTTTTTTTTCTGAATTTTTTTTTTCCGGCCGGTCTCCGTCATTGTTTTTTATTTTTTATTTTTATTTTGGAAAACTTTGTTTTTCTTATAAAAAAATATTTTAATTCATATTACTGTCTTTAACTGTCTCCGACAGTAGTATTATTGTTATAGACAATAATTTAACTGTCTGAGACAGTAATTTTACCGTATTAATTCATTTTATCGTCTTGGCCAACAATTTTGCTGTCTTCGGCAGTAATATTACTGACTCCGACCGTAATATTACTGTTTGGGACAGTAATATTAGTAATATTGCTGTTAGGGAAAGTAATATTCTTAATATTACTGATCGGGACAACAATATTACTGTTTGGGTGGGATAGTAATATTATTAATATTACTGTTTTGGCATTCAAAATTATTGTCTAACACAGTAATTTAGAGAGAAAAAAAAAGGTTTTCAAAAAAAAAAAAAAAATTCAACGCCGGAATCTGGGTAGAAAAAAAAATTATTTTACAAAAAAATTGTTTTCAAAAAATTGTGAAAATGAGGGTTAATGTGATATATTTGTTCAAATACGGGGTTAATGTACAATATTGATGAAGTTAGAATATAATGGACGGAATTGATAAAAATTATATTATGAGGGGTATTTTAAACAAAAAACATGCAGATGAATTTATTTGTGAGACTATTTTTTATCTGGATCTATGTGCATAACTATTTGCCCTTTTTTTAACTTGGGAGTGGGGACGGTTGTTCATATGTATATATTCAAAAAATACATATTTTATGTGAGTTAATTGCATACGAAAAGTTTAATTGTCCAAAAAACCCATATGTTAAAAAAAAATAGCATTTACCCCCATCTCATGCGTTTTATTTAGCACATCACCGGCTATTTGAAAAAGATTTGTTGACTACAATGAAATGACTTTATTATCCTTACTAAGATATATAACATATACTGCTAATAAAAAATATTCATCTAAATTGTGAAGCAAACCCACTAAAAAAATATATATTACATCACCCTTAATTTTAATAATTATTAAAAATAAAAAAATTATACAACGTATTAAAGAAAAATATATATAAAAAAGAACTAAACATTTATTTAAACAAAACATAATCCAAAAAAATTTACTAAATAAAAAATAAATAAAAAGAAGTCATCATCTTCGCCACCCAAACACCCGTCCACATACCCACCCACAGGCCCCACCAACCTCCTACTCCTCCTCCACATCTGCTCGTACAAGACGGCGGCGCTTCAGCGGCGGCGGTGCCACCACCTCGAACATTAATGGCCGACGAGAAGAAAGCAATCCGACAATCCGAATTCTTGAAACCCAAAGCCCTGATGCGATTCTTGTCGAGAATGGATTTTGGTTGGTTTGGAGAAGAGGGCTTTTTGAAAATATTAAGGACTAAATTCGAAGATGGCTCTTTTTTGGGGTGAATATGTAATTTTTTAATAAATTAATTTAAAGGGCATTTGGGTCTTTTCATATCAAAAAACACACTCTCAGTCGCATATCGGCGAGTGCAGTGCACGATCAACTCGCATGGATTTCATTGGCTTTGACTTCTCATCAAAGGGGGTAAATGCTAATTGTTTTAACATAGGGACTTTTCCAGCAACTAGACGCATCACAAGGGTACAACTTGCTAAAAACTCTATTTTATGCGCATTAGTAAAGTAACTCCAAATATTTTTCAGTTATTTCAGGTAACGGTATTCAGTTATTTGGTCTCAAAAAAAAAAATGGTTCAGTTATTTAACCTTTGGCGGTGGATATATGCAAACCCATTTTTTTATTAGTTCAAATCCATATAAAGGGATTTATTAGTTCAAACCCGTAAATTAATCTAATCTTATTACATCAAGACCAAAGAGGACGAATATACTCTTATCCACAAATAATACTCAAATACAAACAAACCATATATTTAATTTGTTCAAGACCAAAAAATCAAAAATTGAAAAAAAAAAAAAAAAAAGAAAAAAAAAAAAGAAAAAAAGATAAAAGATGAAACTCACGATTGCCGCACGCCTGACCGCCGCAATGTCGCCGACCAGCGAGGCTTCCACCGCGTCGGCGACGACCAGCGAACCCACCCACCGCACCACCACCACAAACAAGTAAGTCACTTTTACTAAACTTTTGTTTGTAAATTTTAAAACATTAATCGAGCATCGATTCTACATAAATATGCGTGGATAAATATTAATTTATGCTTATTTCTTGTTGGGTTGCAATGCTTTAGTCGATTTTGGAAAAAAATTTGAGATTGAAAATGGTTTTTTTGTGTGTTTTCGCAGGTTTCCCAAATCGATTTACCCAGACCGATTTTGTACACGAAAATCGGCGTCATAATGCCGATTTTTGTTAACCAAATCGACGACATAACGTCAACTTTACAAGTTAAAATCGGCGTTGTAATGCCGATTTTATTTTTTTAATATTTTGTGTTTTTTATAAGGATTTTGAATTTCATTAAAGGTAATGAATATTTTTTTATGTTGTTGAAGGTTTTGAACTAATAAAAAAAAAAAGGCTTACATATATTGACGGCCTTAACCTTTTTACTATAGGTTGACATTGTAGACAATTCTCAAGCAATAGAAAAACACAATTAAGGGTCGAAAACGAAATATATACTACTCGATTGACTTTTTGGCCAATAGAAATTTCCAGGAAAGAAAGACCAGTCAAAACACTCAATAGTAATAGTAGTCGATCCCTTAATTTGTATATATTGATGATGATGATCACCAAGCCACATATAAAAATCTAGTTTGTTTCTCACACTAAAAAAAAAAAAACAAATGGAGTTATTACAGAGCTTTTTGGCACTTTGTTGTACTGTTGTAGTGTTAATATATGGCTGGAAAATCATGAATTTGGTATGGTTTCGGCCGAGGAAGATGGAGAAAATCCTGAGACAACAGGGTTTCGGTGGAAAATCGTACAGATTCTTGATTGGGGATTTGAATGAAATGAAGAACATGGGCGAGGAGGCTTTGTCCAAACCAATCGATTTCTCCGATGATTTTGTACCAAGGACCATTTCCTTTATTCATAAAACTGTCACCAATCATGGTAAGTATGTCCCTATGTTATTTTTCTTTCTTACATCATCATTTACTATTTATTTATTTCAAATTTTATTTTTGGTGTCCACATAGTAATTTTATTAATACCAAATAGTAGATCAGGCCAAATTCTTACGATTCGTTGGTTTGATTTGTGTAAGAAATGAGTAAATAACTTGTAAGGAGGATTAGTGGTGAATTAAAGTAGAAAACATTGACAAATTATAATTTGAAGGAACAAAAATACTCTTTATTGTGTTTCAGTACATGACGTTGGCCAGTTCAACCAAAAGCTTACGCTATTAGTGAAATGTATCATTTAATATTAATGTCTCCAACATTTCATTATGCTTATAATATGAATAGTTGATGTTGAACTATTGCAGGTGAGAATAGTTTCGTATGGCTTGGCCCTTATGCTGCAGTAATTATCTCTGATCCTGAGAATGTGAGAGAGGTTTTGTCGAAATCTTATGTTTTTCAAAAGCCGTATAATCCATTAGGAAAACTTGTGGCACAAGGATTGGCGAGTTACGAGACTGATAAATGGGCTAAGCATAGAAGGCTTATCAATCCTGCTTTTCACCTAGACAAAGTTAAGGTAACTCTTTTCAATATATAAAAAAAGTGGAACATCGGTATGATGATTTAGCGTTAATGTGACAGTTTTTTTTTTTTTTCTTCTTGTGTAACACATGATATAGCATATGCTTCCATCATTCCATAAGAGTTGTGCCGAAATGCTGAGCAAGTGGGAAAAGATTGTGCCGAGTGAAGGATGTTTCGAGTTGGACGTGTGGCCGTATCTTCAGACAATGACAAGCGATGCAATTTCGCTAACAGCATTCGGCAGCAGCTACGAACAAGGGATAAAGATATTCGAACTTCAAAAAGAACAAGCCGCACTTCTCATAAAGGCAATTCTCTCCGCTTTCATCCCTGGATGGAGGTAATAAATTTAATAATAATCACTTATTAGTTCGTATTCGATGACGTATTATATTTTAAGTTTTGTATATGTTTGTGTGAGTGTGAAGATTTTTGCCTACAAAAACAAATAGAAGAATGAAACACATAATTACGGAAGTGGAGTCACTATTGCTTGCGATAATCGATAAAAGAACAAAGGCAATTGAAGCAGGGGAAGCTACTTCAAATGATTTACTGGATATATTATTAGAATCGAACTCCAAAGAAATAAAACAAAACGGGCATAAGTTTGGAATGAGCTTGCAAGACGTTATTGAAGAGTGCAAGCTGTTTTATCTTGCTGGCCAGGAGACAACCTCGTCGTTGCTTGTCTGGACTATGATTCTATTGAGTAAGCATTTGGATTGGCAGGCTCGTGCAAGAGAGGAGGTTCTTCATGTTTTTCGAAGTGGGACTCCCGATTTTCAAGACTTAAGTCGCCTCAAAATTGTAAGACCTCTATTGATTGGCTAGATAATCCGCGATAAATTATTTGGTATTTGATTAATCGTCGCCTTTAAGCTTTGCGTAAAGATTAAGAATTTCATTAAATGTGTCTTGATTTTAGGAAAATGTATGTTTTTAAACTAAAACGACCTTGTCTTATAATGAATAAGAGAGAAAGAAATTAGTTAATAAAAAGACTGTTGGAAAGAGTTAATAAGGGTATAAAGTAGAAATTAAGTAATTAATGAAGTATTGGAAATGTAAATTGACAGATAATACAAAACAATTTTTTTCTTCTAAAGTGACAGATATTATGGAACAGGGGGAGTATTTATATTTGTATGTTGTAACATTCGGCAACCAAACAAGGCCTAAAAGTAAGCCTATGGCCTTTTTGATTGGATGATATAACGGTGTGATAACTATATTGCAGGTAAGCATGATTTTTCAGGAGGTTTTAAGATTATATCCACCAGGATTGTTGATTAGTCGAGCGGTTCACAAGGAAACTGCACTAGGAAACATAGTGTTACCTGCGGGAGTGCAACTACTACTTCCGGTTATACTATTACACCATGACTGCAAAATATGGGGGGAAGATGCAAAGGATTTCAATCCGGAGAGATTTAGTGAAGGGGTTTCGGAGGCGACAGGTGGCAGCCTCTCGTACTTCCCGTTTGGGTGGGGACCACGGATATGCATTGGGCAGAACTTTGCTATGTTGGAAGCTAAAATGGCATTGGCTATGATTTTGCAGCACTATTCTTTCGAGCTTTCACCATCTTATTCGCATGCTCCTCATACTGTGCTAACTCTTCAACCTCAACACGGCGCTCACTTGATTCTTCGCAAATTACCTGTGTAGGGTAAGGTTGGTTTATCTGTTTAAGGAAGTAAATCAGTTTTTAGTGGGAAGGAAGTTTGTTTTTCGTTGCATTTATTGTCTTTTTTTTTTTTTTTTTGAGAAATTTTATTGTCTTCACTTGTTTGTGTTTTGTAACTCGTTTTTTTTTTTTTTATTTTTTTTTTTATTTTTTATTATGATGTTTATGTTTGTAACTCATATATGAGATGTAAAAAAATAATATATATCATGAGTTTTTGTATTGCAAATGAATTCAAATTAATAATAGTATGATTTTCTTGTTCGATAATATGCTATTAAAGGAGAAGTCGATGAAGAGCCCATCACCACCTATGCTATAAGAATTGGTTTAATCATATTATGACAAACGAACGAAGCCTGAGGCTATATAATAAGAGCATACTATTTAAAAATACATATTTTAAAAAAACAGCTATAATAAGAGCATACCATTTAACTAACGAAGAAAAATCCAGTCTTGACCTAAATATCACTGACCAAGATATCATTTAATGCTCTTTATCACATTGGAGCGGAAAAGGCTTCTCGACCAGATGTTTTGAACATACATTTTTATCAAATTTATTGGTCGATTTTAAAAAGTTCCGTTATCCGTCTTGTTATAAATTTCTTCCATACTGGAAAACTCCCAAATTCTATAAACAGAACCAATATCATTCTCATCCCTAAAGTTTAGAATCCTTATCTCATCGGTCATTTCAAGCCAATTAATTTATGTAATGTCATATATATAACAGTATTTCCAATATTCTTGTTAAAAACATTTGACCTTTCTTGGATAAAATCATTGCTCATTTCTAAAATGAATTTGTTCCTAAAATATTCACTGGTAATATCTAATTGGCTCATGAAATGCTTCATTCTATGAAAAATAGAAAATGTAAAGAATCTAGTTTGGCCTTGAAAATTGACACAAAAAAGACACATGATAAGCTTGAATGGAACTTTATAAGATTTGCTTTGCAAAATATCAATTCTCGGATTTCTTGATTGATTTGATTATGGAGTGTGTTCAATCTGTTTCATTTTCTTTATCTATTAATGGGAACCAACCATCCTACTAGAAACCTAAATAAGACGAGGTGATCATTTGTCTCCTTATTCTTATCCTTTGCCTCAAAGTGTGAGTTTTTCAATTTGTTAATATAAGTACTTGGGAAGTGTTGATGCATTAAGCCTTTGTATCACTACAAGAAAGTTCGCATTTGGCTACAACGAATTTCGTTGAGGAAAGTATATAATTTCGTTGCTAATTTCATTCGCAACGAAAATAAGTCGTTGCTAGCTTCGTTGTCTTTTATTTGTTACGGAAAGTTCGGGGAAACGAATTAAAAGTTGTTGCCAATACATTTAGTTTGCGCAACGAATTCATGTCGTTGGCAAATATTTTTCGTTGCCTATGCCAATGCATTATGTATACACAACGAATTTATTTTCGTCGCCAATAGTATACAAAACGAATTTATTTTCGTCGCCAATAGTATACAAAACGAATTTATTTTCGTTGCCAACGAATTTATTTCATTGCAAAATTATGGTCCGGATTTTTATCGAAGCCGGACCCACGTCCGCCAACCCGACCCACATACATTGGACCACCGAGCCAAGCCAGACCCACATCCATTGGACCACCGAGCTACTTCGGAATATGAATAGTTGGGTCGAACTCACGACCGGCCCAACAGGCTGATAAAAATGTTAAATATATGAAAATATGACAATGGTAGGAAATGAACCCTGGTTGTTTTGAAGTTAGAGCCCTTCAAACCGCTGG